TGATCGCACATCGCTTTGAGGAATTCATTGCACGTTGCTTCGGTGCAATGAGCTCAGAATCAGCTTGTTCTTGTAATCGTCATCTGAGGTACGAGGTTAAAGAATCGAGTGTCCAGATTGATCATTTCTAACGCTTTGGCTTCTCAGAACGTTTTAGACGTTGTTGGATGCTTCGAAAAACGTAATATTTCTTATCGCAAGCAAGTCTTCATCCTGGTGCGTCGGTTTAAGGTGCGATGTTTGCCTCCATTGCCTCTGCGGCCATTTTGTTCTTCCCAGAGCAGAACGGTTTTGGATAGGTTTCCATTCTCACCGTGTAACAAGTCGCTTGCTTCTGGGAAACAGGGACAGCATTTTGTTCAGGTGTGGTTATGTCAGGGTGCGCTAGAGTCATGGCCACGTTGTCTAATGCGAGCGCGCCTCTTGAAACTCTAATTCGCCATAAGTCACCTGATCGCTGACTAGTCATTGTGATAATAGCCACAAAATTGAAGTCCTGTTTGTGTTGTAGTCTCATAAGCCCCCGTAATTCGCTTGTTCCGCATTACATCTGATACGGTTTCTGGCTTAGATCCAAGCAGCATTGGAAGTTTTCTTAGTTGACTGATATTTGATCTGGTAAGTGGTTCACTTCAGCAGAACGAGCAACTGGTATGTTGTCTATTGACGGGTACCTTGTTTTCGCTCGTCGCTTTAATGCCATTGATGCATTTCTACTCGTCTGATACTTGTACTTTTCGTTTGGGCCAGTGCAACACGAAGTGCGCGAATAACTAACAGGCCTGCTGTGCTATAATAACTTTTCTTGCAGCCGCACTACTTGATATAACGTTGAAATGCCGGAAGATGCTATCCCAGTGTGCAGTCGGTTGGTCGTCAAGGGCCTTCCGACAAAGTTCACACAGGAAGACGTCAGGAAGTTGTTTGAAGATTTCGGCCTTATAACGGACTGCCAGTTAAAGTTCGGTGCCAACGGAGTGTCGAGGCGATTCGCCTTTGTCGGGTTTCGCGGTGACGATGAAGCGACAGCGGCAAAGCAGCATTTTCATAACTCGTTCGTTGGCGCGTCACGAATCCAGGTATGTCTCATTGTGTCATATTGCCTACCGTCATAAGTTCATTCCTTATGGCTCTTCATCGACTTTAGGTTGAGTACTGCCGCGCCTACTCTGCGGCAAAGTCCGACCCCCGGAAGTCTGCCGATCGACAGAAATCACCCAGCCTAACGGTGTGCATTGATTGCGGTCAGCGGATCAAGAAAAAGAGCCTGCACCAGTTCCTGGCACCAGTCAGGCCGGTGAAAATCGTTTTCGTACCGCAGTCGACCGCCGTCACCGTGGTATTGTCCAAACGGTCAGAGGTGAACAACGTGCTAAAGCTTGACGGCACGTTTCTGTCTGGCAAGCGAGTGAGCGTTACCGTATCAGACAGCGTCGTCGGTCACGTCCACGGCTCAGGTCAGAAATCCTCCGATGAGGGCGACATCGACTATAAGCCTGAGACGGCTGATGACATTCGGAGGAATGCTGACATTATCGCTGAGACCGGATGCCTGTTTGTCAGGAATTTGCCGTACGTGTGTACGGTGCAGGACTTGCGCGACGTGTTCCAACCGTTCGGTGAGCTCGTCGAGGTATCGCTACCGATCGAACAGGAGACTCAGAAACCAAAGGGCTTCGCATTGCTCAAGTACATGTTTCCCGAGCACGCATTGAAAGCGTATACAGCACTCGATGGTTCGGTGTTCCATGGAAGACTGCTGCACATTCTTCCAAGTAATAAATATGATTTTATATCACATGCGAGCTGGTAAACGTTAGATGAGGTGATTTCCTCAGCTATGCGACCAAGTCGTTTAAGACTGTAACCAGAGCGAAAAAAATGTTTACCCTAATTCCTATGAGCGAATAAGTTAGCTGTCAATAGGGTAACGACTGCAGGTCGACTAATTTAGAAATATTAGACAATAATTTAGCTGGATTTGTCTGAACGAATATAATTCGGTTTAGCCAGGTAATATTCTTATTCCGTTCATGGGCACATTATTTGAACGATTCCGCACGAGCTTCCCACCGAACCAGATTCACGGCCATTGAACCATGGTTTTAGGCGGTGTTAGCCTTCCTCTGATTGAGTACCCCTCAGATGACAAGGCGAACCCCATTGTTTGTGCTTTTCGTTGACAGCTTCGCGGTTCCCCATCATGAGGGCGGTAGCGGCGAGAAGGACGTTTGAATTCTTTGGGATGACGACCTCCCTTATGATTCTACGATGAAAGGTATTTATAAGCATCGTTATATGGTTAAATTATACACAACAATTAACCGCTTGGTCAGGTAATAGAATAATTACCGGCGTTTCTTTTCACTAACCTTCAAGGTAAAAATAATAGTGGCTTTTAAACTCTACTTCCAGCAGCTGTTGCTTTCGATTCATGATGCTGTTGTTTGACGCGACCGTTCAGCCACATTCTTTCATAGTTCATATCGGCACACTCCGAACATGGTTAATGGAGAATGGTTAAACATGGTTAATGGACATGGTTAATGGAGAATGGTTAAAATCTTGCGCTCATTATGTTACATGTTATACCATTTTCGAGCTGTTTCCGTATGAAAGTCTGGCATAGTGTGGTTGTGGAGGGGGGGGGGGACTTTATTACCGCAGAAGTTGTTTCCTTTGTAGTAGTGCCATTCGGGTTCATCGGTGATAATCGATCTTCTCCGTCTTGACAAGTGGGCATTTGTCCTTGGAATAATAGTCCTCCCGTTTTCTTCATTTTTGACAGTTACTTGATAATTTCTGAATTGAACTAAGACATTCTTTGCTCTTAAAATTATGTAGTAGAGCGTTAAGTTTATTCTAGGTATTATGTTAGATTATTGCTGTGTTTAATGTTTTATAATCCTCGTAGCACTGCGTATCGTTTCTTTGTAATTCGTAATAAGGGAGGAAAAATGGTGCGCACTGATGATGCGATTCAAGCAGTAAAATTTCAGTTCAGTTTACAATTTTCAAAATCGAGTAGAAGTAACAGTACTAGTTTTAATTATAGTAATGGAAGGTATAGTAGTATCGTATCGTTATTACTGTTCGCTGTGGTTATAGCCGCAGTGGTCGGATGAGCAGTAGTGATGCCGCTGGTAATTGTACAGCGATATTAGTCGTGGTAGTTGTACAATTACTGTCACTAATAGTCTAGCGACAGTAGTAACACTAGTGACCGGAGCATTTGTGGTGTCACAGCATTACTATCACTGGTAATAATTGCCGTGGTATTAATCGGTTGTAGCAGTCGTACCAGTAGTCAGTGGAGTACTGTTTCTCATACAACTAGTAGTACTCTGCTAGGAATTATAGCAGCAATGGAACCGATGGTAATAATAATAGTATTGCTAGTAGTAGGTGTAGTAGCACTTGATTTCACCGGTACTACTGGTAGTACGTCTAGTTCTGGTATTAGTCCTATTACACTAGTGGTATCTAATTTCGCTTATGCTACTGCTGTCCCTATGAGAACTACTTTCGCAATAACTGCTGGTGTTACTCCTGCTATTAATATTAGTACTCTGCAATCTGTTAGTACTCTTGTAACACAGCTTGTTCTGCTAATACTAGGAATAGTCGCATCAGTCGAAATGACATTAGTAGTACTAGTGTTATTTGCAGTAGTAGTAATGACAGTCGTTATGATGGTAATAAAATCAGTTACAGTTGAAATTTTATTTGAAAGAGGTTATAAGCTTATTAGTAGCACTAATAGAATTTCTAGTAGAGGTGGCGAAAGTACTTTGCAACTAGGAGTGATAGTATTAGTAGCTGTGGGTTTATATTGTATTATTTGTACCAACAGTAGTAGGAATAATGCTAGTCATGGCAGCTGTACCAAATTTTGCTAATGCTACCACCACCCCAGAGCTGCCTAAAATCAGGGCCAAGCGGAAACTGTAGATAAAATAAATAATCCTGTCATTCCCACTACAGTTATTGCTCATATTGTCAGTTGTACTATGTCTTCAAGTTAGTGTGTTAGTGCCGCTAATAGTAAAAGTAATTATAGTTGTTTTAGTAGTGATAATACCAGTAGTGTTATTAGTACCGGTGGCATCGGTCAGCTTCAGTTAACTCACTCTCCATGACCGCTGATTTTTTAACTTCGGAAGCACCACCAAACAGTTCCCACAACGTTCCCGATACTGCGTCAGAGTTTCAGCTTTAGCAAAATATCACGGAGCACAGTCCGTAAAGCAGCTATCGCAAATCGCTCTTAATTTTCCACGGGATCATCAGCCTGTCATTTGACCAAGTAGCTGTTTCGCCTTTCTCTCTGGAAGCCTTCGCAAAACGCTTCTCTATCCGGTGAAACAACTCTGTACACCAAGGCTCTGTCGGATATCTGTACTGCGGACCAGATATCAAGTTGTGTGAGGCCAACGATTCGTCTCAGAATGCTAATTTCAGCCGTTTTTACCCGGGATCTAATCTTTTCAGAGAGCCTTGTAGATCGGTTTCAGAAGATGCCACCAAAACAAGGTCGTCAGCGAAC